TGAATGATGAACACCCCCCCGGGAGGGATTTTAAATGGAATTAGGGGGGGGGGGTCCGCCCACGCCCCTCCCTCACGGAGCCCTCACGGAGCCCTCACGGAGCCCTCACGGAGCCCTCACGGAGCCCTCACGGAGCCCTCACGGAGCCCTCACGGAGCCCTCACGGAGCCCTCACGGAGCCCTCACGGAGCCCTCACGGAGCCCTCACGGAGCCCTCACGGAGCCGCCCGCTCCTCTCCCGGCCGCGCTCAGGCCGCGCTCGGCTCCGCTCGGCCACTTCCGGCCGCGCTCGGCCACTTCCGGCGCCGCTCGGGCAGCGCTCGGCGCTTTCCGCCTCCGCTTCGGGGCCTTTCCGCCGCGCTTCGGGTTTTCCCGTCGCTGCTCGGGTTTTTCCGCTAATGATCGATGATTTCCGGCCCCGCTCGGGTTTTTCCGCGCGGGCTCGCAACTTTCCGTCAGTGTCCGGGTTTTTCCGCTACCGATCGGCGCTTTCCGCTCGTGCTCGGCGCTTTCCGGTTCCGGGCCGGCGTTCCGGGCGCGCCCGGTTCTCTCCCGTTGCCGTTCGCCGCTTCCCGCCGCCGTTCCGCGCCCTTTGAACCGTTTTCCGTCACTTTTCGCCGTTTTCTGCCGCTTTTGGCCGCTTTCCCTCCCCGTTCGCACCCCCTCGGCTCCTCTACGTCACTTCCTCCGCGGCCCGCTCAACTTCCGGCGGCCGCCCCCGGTAAAACCAGGCCCTCCGGTTGGCCCCGCCCCCTCCGGTGCGGCCCCGCCTCTTTCCCTGTGTGCCCCGCCCCTTCCCGCGCTGGCCCCGCCCCCTTCCCTCAGGGCCGCTTTTGGCGGGAAACGGGAGCGGCGATGGCGCCCCCTGGCGGCCGGCGGGAATTCTCGCGCGGGGCGCAAATCTCGCGAGATTTCACTTTTTGGGGGGAGATTTTTCCCGTTTTTTCCGGGTTTTGCCTCAAAATCCTCCCCGAGGGGACCCCAGAGGGAGCCCGGGGGGGTCTGAGGGGATTTGGGGGAGATTTGAGGGGATTTGGGGGGGATTTGGGAATCCCTGATTTTGGGGAGTGCCCGGGATGAGGAGAAAAATGGGAAAATTGGGGAAAAAATGTTAAAAATGTGAAAAAATGGGGGGAAATGGGAAAAAATGGGGGAAAATGGGCAAAAAATGGGAGGAAAATGGGGGAAAATGGGGGAAAACGGGGGAAGGGGGGGGGGGGGGGCCACGCAGGGCCGTCGGTGGCCCCGGGGCTGGGGACACTCGGGGGTCCCGGGCCCCCCCTCGGTGCTGATTTTTTATTTTTTTGTAATTATTAAAATTTTGATAATTATTAAAAAAATTTGGGGTGGTTTTTTTCTCGTGTGACACACCTGTGACACCTGTGCCACCTGAGTGACACCTGTGCCACCTGTGCCAGCTGTGCCAGACCAGTGACACCTGTGACAGCTGTGCCACCCCTGTGACACGCCTGTGCCACACCTGTGACACACCTGTGACACCTGTGCCAGCTGTGCCACACCTGTGTGACCCCTTCTGCCACCTCCTTGTGCCACACCTGTGTCACATCTTGTGCCACCCCTTCTGCCACACCTGTGACAGCTGTGCCACAAACTGTGCCACACCTGTGCCACCTGTGTGACCCCTTCTGCCACCAGCTGTGCCACCTCCTTGTACCACACCTGTGACACCTGTGCCACCCCTTGTGCCACCTCCTTGTGCCACCCCTTCTGCCACACCTGTGCCACCTGTGTGACCCCTTCTGCCACCCCCTTGTGCCACACCTTGTGCCACACCTGTGACACCTGTGCCGGCAGTCCCGGCCTCACTGCGCTGTCCCCGCCGTCCCCGGCGTCACCACCACGTTGACCCCACTGGACACTGCGCTGACCCCGGTGGTTGCGTTGACCCCGTTGGCCAACGCGTTGACCCCATTGACCCCACTGGCCACTACGTTGACCCCATTGGGTGACACGTTGGCCCCATTGACCCCATTGGCTGCTGTGTTGACCCCACTGGGTGCGACGTTGACCCCGTTGGCCGCGTTGACCCCACTGACCACAGCACTGACCCCGTTGGGTGCTGCGTTGACCCCGTTGACCCCATTGGCCACCGCGTTGACCCCATGACCCAACGCGTTGACCCCGTTGGCCGCGCTGACCCCACTGCCCGCCGCGTTGACCCCAACGGGTGCCGTGTTGACCCTGCTGGGCGCCACGTTGATTCTATTGGCCGTGTTGACCTCGTTGGGCACCGCGTTGACCCCATTGGCTGTGTTGACCCCGTTGGCCAACGCGTTGACCCCATTGACCCCACTGGCCACTACGTTGACCCCACTGGATGCCGCATTGACCCCATTGGCTGTGTTGACCCCGTTGGCCAACGTGTTGACCCCATTGGGGGCCACGTTGACCCCGTTGGGTGCCGCGTTGACCCCATTGGCCGCATTGACCCCACTGGCCACTACATTGACCCCACTGGTCACCACGTTGACCCCGTTGGCTGAGTTGACCCCGTTGGCCAACGCGTTGACCCCATTGACCCCACTGGCCACTACGTTGACCCCATTGGGTGACACGTTGGCCCCATTGACCCCATTGGCTGCTGTGTTGACCCCACTGGGTGCGACGTTGACCCCGTTGGCCGCGTTGACCCCACTGACCACAGCACTGACCCCGTTGGGTGCTGCGTTGACCCCGTTGACCCCATTGGCCACCGCGTTGACCCCATGACCCAACGCGTTGACCCCGTTGGCCGCGCTGACCCCACTGCCCGCCGCGTTGACCCCAACGGGTGCCGTGTTGACCCTGCTGGGCGCCACGTTGATTCTATTGGCCGTGTTGACCTCGTTGGGCGCTGCGTTAACCCCATTGGCTGTGTTGACCCCGTTGGCCAACGCGTTGACCCCGTTGGGGGCCACGTTGACCCCGTTGGGTGCTGCGTTGACCCCATTGGCTGAGTTGACCCCACTGGCCACTACATTGACCCCACTGGTCACCACGTTGACCCCGTTGGCCGCGTTGACCCCACTGGCCACCGCGTTGGCCCCGTTGGCCAACGCGTTGACCCCATTGGGGGCCACGTTGACCCCATTGGCCACGTTGACCCCATTACCCACCGCGTTGGCCCCGTTGGCCAACGTGTTGACCCCATTGACCCCACTGGTCACCACGTTGACCCCGTTGGCCGCGTTGACCCCACTGGCCATGGGGAGGCTGAGGAAGGGGAGGGGGGGGGTGGGCACTCACCTGGGGGGGTCCCGAGCCCCCCAACCCCGCTCGGCCGGGCCGGGCCGGGCCGGACGCGCCGCCCCCGCCGGAAGCGGAAGCGGGAAGGGGGTCACGTGAGGACGGGCCGCGCTGAGCTGCCCCGCCCTCTTTCTCCCCCCCCCCACCCCGGGGATGGCGGGACCCCTCCCCACGTTAAACCGGGGGGGCTCCGGGACCCCCGAGCGGCGCCGGGAGGGGAATTGGGGGCCTTGCCCTCACCCAAGATGGCGCCGGCGCCGCCGCCTGCCCCGCCAAGATGGCGGCCGGAGACAAGATGGCGGCGGCCGCCCTCAACAAAGATGGCGGACGAGGACTCGGGACCAATCAGAGCCGCGGGACCGGAGCTGGCCACGCCCCCCATAGGTTGGGGGGTGAATTTGGGGAAAGGTCGGGGGGCTCTGTGACGTCACCGGGGCAGGGAAGAGGAGGGGGCGCTCCTGGTCCCCCCCCTTTTTTCCTGCCGCCATTTCCGGGCGCGGCCCCTTTAAGAGCGCCCCGCACGTGCGGCCCCGCGTGCCCCCGGCCCCGCCCCCGGCCCCGCCCGCTCCCCATTGGCCCGAACTGGGTCAGGCCCCGCCCCTCGCGCCCTTCCCCGTTGGCCCAATGTAGGTCAGGCCACGCCCCCCCGCATGGCCGCGCCGCCTGACCGCGGCCACGCCCCCCGCGCGCTCATTGGCCGCGCCGGGCGCCAGAGGCGTGGCCGCGCCGAGGGGGCGTGGCTTTCCTCCCCTCCGCGCGGGGGGCGTGGCTTCGCCCGCTCTGAGGGCGTGGCTTGGGGCGGCGGCGACCAATGGGAGGCGCGCAGCGTGCGCGGGGAGGGCGGGGTTTGCTTGCAGAGGGGCGTGGCTACGGCAGGGAGCGGGCGGGGATTGGCGGGCGGGGGGGGGGG